AAGGGCAGGTTAGCAGAGATTCTTTAGGAAAGGGCAGGTTAGCAGAGATTCTTTAGGAAAGGGCAGGTTAGCAGAGATTCTTTAGAAAAGGGCAGGTTAGCAGAGATTCTTTAGGAAAGGGGCAGGCTAGCAGAGATTCTTTAGGAAAGGGCAGGCTAGCAGAGATTCTTTAGAAAAGGGCAGGTTAGCAGAGATTCTTTAGGAAAGGGCAGGCTAGCAGAGATTCTTTAGGAAAGGGCAGGTTAGCAGAGATTCTTTAGAAAAGGGCAGGTTAGCAGAGATTCTTTAGGAAAGGGCAGGCTAGCAGAGATTCTTTAGGAAAGGGCAGGTTAGCAGAGATTCTTTAGGAAAGGGCAGGTTAGCAGAGATTCTTTAGGAAAGGGCAGGTTAGCAGAGATTCTTTAGGAAAGGGCAGGTTAGCAGAGATTCTTTAGAAAAGGGCAGGTTAGCAGAGATTCTTTAGGAAAGGGCAGGTTAGCAGAGATTCTTTAGGAAAGGGCAGGTTAGCAGAGATTCTTTAGAAAAGGGCAGGTTAGCAGAGATTCTTTAGGAAAGGGCAGGTTAGCAGAGATTCTTTAGGAAAGGGCAGGTTAGCAGAGATTCTTTAGGAAAGGGCAGGTTAGCAGAGATTCTTTAGGAAAGGGCAGGTTAGCAGAGATTCTTTAGGAAAGGGCAGGTTAGCAGAGATTCTTTAGGAAAGGGCAGGTTAGCAGAGATTCTTTAGAAAAGGGCAGGTTAGCAGAGATTCTTTAGGAAAGGGCAGGCTAGCAGAGATTCTTTAGAAAAGGGCAGGTTAGCAGAGATTCTTTAGGAAAGGGCAGGTTAGCAGAGATTCTTTAGAAAAGGGCAGGTTAGCAGAGATTCTTTAGGAAAGGGCAGGTTAGCAGAGATTCTTTAGGAAAGGGCAGGTTAGCAGAGATTCTTTAGAAAAGGGCAGGTTAGCAGAGATTCTTTAGAAAAGGGCAGGTTAGCAGAGATTCTTTAGAAAAGGGCAGCAGCACAAATTTAGTAGTAATTTAAAAGTTGAGTAGTAACGTTAATTTGGGATGTTAAAATTAATCAAAATGAAAAAACCCAGTAAGTAACCGGGTCCTCGCGAACCCGCCGGATGGATATCTGCCTTCTGTTTGTTTGTGTGTCTGTCGGTCCGTTAGGTATATCCATTCTCTCCCCCCTTACCCCTCATCACATTTTCTCAATCCTTAATCCCTCCCCTTAGCGCCGTCTTCTCCCTTTTGTTTGCCCACCGCTCTCACCGTCCACCTCAGCCCAAATACACGGCTATGGCAGATATGTTACCTAACACACCCACTCATACTCGGATTTTAAAGGGAGGGTGACAGGAACGATTGAGAACGGGGAGAAAATGCGCCTAAAAATCTCTGCTAGCCTGCCCTCCCTGAATAATCTCTGCTAGCCTGCCCTTTCCTAAAGAATCTCTGCTAGCCTGCCCTTTCCTAAAGAATCTCTGCTAGCCTGCCCTTTCCTAAAGAATCTCTGCTAGCCTGCCTTTTCCTAAAGAATCTCTGCTAGCCTGCCCTTTCCTAAAGAATCTCTGCTAGCCTGCCCTTTCCTAAAGAATCTCTGCTAGCCTGCCCTTTCCTAAAGAATCTCTGCTAGCCTGCCCTTTCCTAAAGAATTTCTGCTAGCCTGCCTTTTCCTAAAGAATCTCTGCTAGCCTGCCCTTTCCTAAAGAATCTCTGCTAGCCTGCCCTTTCCTAAAGAATCTCTGCTAGCCTGCCCTTTCCTAAAGAATCTCTGCTAGCCTGCCCTTTCCTAAATGATCTCTGCTAGCCTGCCCTTTCCTAAATGATCTCTGCTGGTACGCCCCCAACTCTCGAATTTAAAGGGACTGGGACAACCAGTCGCGTAACGGGTGGCAAGAATTAGCTAAGCAATAACTGGTGATCCAGAAATAAGTATCATAAACCATCAGAATGGAAAATAGTCAGTATTGACGCCTTTTTAAAATCTGCCATCCCCTTTCGGGAATCGGAGCGGCTTGGGAATTTTTGAAATTGGACCCGGAACTCCCAGTGGATGGCCGGCAAGCAGGGGGAATTATTCGATGCACGGGGAAAGGAAGTTAAGCTAATTGGTGGCAAAACTTAAAAGCCTTTGAAAAAGTTAAGAAATGTAACTATTTTTGAAATTTAATTTATATGTGAATTTAAATTTGAAAAAGATTTTAAACTAATTTTCCTGAAAAAAACCCGAATCCTATGCAAAAAAGTCGACATTCGGAATTTCGAGATGATGAAATTTCGACATTACGATACCAAATCTTTGCTTAGCAGTTTTCATAAACGAACGCGTTTATTTAAAGTATTGCCAGCAGGTGTTCGCATCTGTCCAGCACAGGGCGGAGGAATTGAACAAGATAAATATTGCTCAGCGTACCCAAAAAAAATTCAAGACAAGAGAGTCCAAAAAAGAGCGATGCCAGATGTTAACGTGAATTACCATACGACTGCCTCAAAGCCGTGACAAATTCGTTTGCTTGCGAATAGGTCAAATTTTGGAGAAAACATGAAATTCTTTCAAAATTCTTTTTTCGAATTTTCTTTCAAAATGTCGAAAATCATAAGTCGTAATGGCCAAGTTTCATAAGGTCGACATTTACATAAGCCAATTTGCCGGAAAACCCCGAATCCTACGCAAAAAAATTCGACATTATCAATTTCGACATTTTGATAGCAACTTGCGGTGCGGTCACGTTGCTGCTGCATCTATTTGCCAGGAATCAGCGCTGCGGGTTTGGGCCAGACTTCTTGGCACCTTTAAAAAAAGAAAAAATACAAATCAGCTCTAAAAACTGAAAACCGATTGTCACGGTCAGAGGCGCGTTTAAAAAAAAACATTTGGGAGCCTCTAGCTGTCATAATCCCTTTAAACCCCCGTCAAAATTCCGTATGGCTCCTATAGACGGGTAGACGAAGTAGAAGGACCCAGAAGAAGTAAGTAGGGCCCTCTGCCTTGGCGGCCCCCTTTTGGTATTGGAAGGCGTGACAAAATGAGGTGCCTACTAATGAGGCGCCAGGCCAGGATTGCTTGAATCCAGCCAAGAAGGCTTTCCCTTTGGGACCCACCAGGGGGAAGGGCATTCACTTTCTGATTGGCCCTACCCAGATGTCGGCGACGTCAGCAGGTTTTTAGCGGAATTCCCGAGTTTTGAGAATTCTGGAGCTGGGATGGAAATTTGATTTTATGAACCCTGCGGGGAGCAGAGAAACAAAATTACTAAAAAAATAAAAACAAAATTATTAAAACTTTTTAATTGAAAACTTAGCAAAGGCAAAAAGCAAAACTTTTGGTGGTCCGGGGGGTCGAACCGGGGCCCATAATTTGGGGGCCCAACACTTTAAGTGGCCGCGAAACAGCCAAAGTAGTTATATAAAACATTGCAATTTTTAAAATCACTTAAGATATTTAAAAAGCAAAAAGCAAAACTTTCGGAGGTCCAAGGAGTCGAACCTACGGCCCTAATTGGATTGCCTAAACCTTTAAATCAAATAAAAAAAGCCTGGCAAATCCATTTGAAATGGCAAAACTACCGTGAAAAGCAAAAAGCAAAACTTTGGGTGGTCCGAGGAGTCGAACCTACGCCCCTAATTTCATGGCCTAACTCTTTAAGTTACTTCAAAAGAGCCAGAAAAATTCCATAACGCATTTACACCTTTAAAATTACTGAAGATATTGAAAAAAGCAAAAAGCAAAATTTTTGCAGGACCGGGGATTCGAACCAGGGACCCGTTTTTCATGGGTCAACCCTGAAAATATTCAAGAAATAAACTAAAAGAAGAAAAAGAAACCAGAAAAAATAATCCGAGAGTACCGTAATCGTTTTAAATTCGTAACCTAAAATTTTTGTATATTTCTTTGCTCTAAGCTACGATAGCTCCTAATGACGCTGGGTCTTAGGTAGAAAATAGCTGCGCTCCTCCTTTTCCCTAGAAAATGCCCTGGGGGCACAAAAGACGTATCCTTCCTCCTTCCCTCGTTGTGTCCATGTGTTGGCGAACAGAATTTTTCATTAACCACGCCGCGCGGGCTGCTGCACTTGACTTGACTGACATTTTCGGGCCCATATTCCCCTCAATGGGCTCCCCTTTTCCGTGTAACGCCTATCGACACCTCTGCTCGACTTTAGCGAGAAATGTGTGAAGGCAAATAGCCCCGCTGAATTGGCAGAGCATCAAACAACATTCGATTAGAGGTGGGAATTAAAGGAGAAAACTTTTCTCAAAGGCTCTCCGCTAGCCTGCCCTAAATCGGGCCATTCCGCAAAGAATCACCGCTGGTTTGCCCTGGAAATTTCGGCAAAAGAGGGCGGTGCGCGGAACCGGTGAAAACTCCTGCAAAATTTAGGATTATCTCAAGGAATCCCTGCTAGCCTGCCCAAAAAAACCGATTCCGCAAAGAATCCCCGCTAGCTTGCCATACGAAAATTTATAAAATCGTTAAATCGACAGGTAACCTAAAGATGCCGGGAAAAGGGGCGTTTTCTCAAAGAATCCCTGCTAGCCTGCTCTAAATAGAGCCGATTCCACAAAGAATCCCTGCTTGCTTGCCAGTAACAAAAAAGAACGGATTCAAAAACCAAATTCAGCCGTTTTTCTGGAGCCTGCAAGCGCACCAAAAAACACGGCTTTGGGGACAAAGAAAAGAATCGAATTTCCCGCTCGCAGCGTAAATCTCGAAAATAGCCTACAAAAAGCCGGAAAAAGCGGAAAAGGGAATTCATAGAAGACAAAGTAGAAGCTCTGCTGCGAATTTTTATTCAAAAAAAAGTGAAAATTAAGTCAAACCTAGTAAGATATAGAAGTTATTGTTTCAGGAAAACGATAAATTAATGCAAAACGGTAAAAAGTATAGAAAAAACTATAACTACCACTACAGACATTAAACAAATTAAACGAGTTAAGCAAGGATAAATTAAACGCAAAAAAGTAGCATTATTTTGTTTTGGCTAAAACCCATTTTTCAGAAAATGCCAGCTGATGCGCGGTCACTCCGAGCATCGCTCACATGCCTGGAAACCGGAAGAGGTGCGTTGCTTTCCGTTGCTCTCTCTCTCTCTCTCTCTCTCTCTCTCTCTCTCTCTCTCTCTCTCTCTCTCTCTCTCTCTCTCTCTCTCTCTCTCTCTCCCCCTCCTCCTGTCTCTCTCACTGTCTTTCTCGCTCTCTCTCCTTCTCTCTCTCTCTCTCTCTCTCTCTCTCTCTCTCGCTAACCCCTCTTTTCCAGATTTACAATACCTGCGTGCAAGCAATCGAGGGTCGATGTAATCGGCGCACCAAAGTCGTGCACGACTATAAAATTGCGATCAAGGAATTCTTGGCCAGGGTATGTGAGGGCAGGCTAGCAGTGGTAATTTGTGGATTTCAGGTAGAGATCATCCTCATCAACGAGTTGTCCCGCGCCCTCGAGCAGTCCAACGAGCCGGACAGGGTGCTGATTGGGAGGTTGAATCGGGTAAGCAGATTGATTAATTCGAGAGAGAGAGAGAGAGAGAAGAGAGAGAGAGAGAGAGAGAGGGAAAAAGAAAAAAGAAAGGGGAAGGAAAGAGAGACGGGAGAAAGAGAGAGAGAGAGAGAGAGATTTTTTACATAATATCTTTTTCTAGGCCTTATCGACGTCATACCTGAAAGACGATCGGCCCTCCCTCTACCATGTCCACTCCCCGTCCCGGCCACAGTGGAAAACGTGGAATCTCGATCATGAGGACCCGGCAAAGTGAGCGTTTAGATTTATATTTTGACGAATTGAAATTTTTGATTTATGATGAATTTTCTAGCCTTTAAAATTGTAATTTGATAATTATTTTTTTGATTAATCTGTTTTTTCCAGGATGGCGCAAATCATCGAGGCGGCCAAGGAACTCCTCCGATTGCCCAGAGCCGAAATTTACGAGGTAATTTGCTTTTTTTGCTGACCGTAAAGTGTATTTTTGTCACACACGCTTTTAACCTATCTTGAACTTTTGATCTCTCTTTCTCTTGCCAGCTTTCTGTCTCTATATCTCTCGCACTTTCTGTCTCTCTTTCACTCTCGCTCTCCCTCCCTCCATCCCTCTCTCCCTCGTTTCCGTTCCAAATTTCCCTCTATTAGGTGAAACCGCGAATAAAAAAAGGCGCCCAGCCGCCGCCGGCAAAAAAGGTAAAAAGCGTGTGTCGCTGGCGATTTCGAATTTACATCCAGCACATTTAATTTGCATATCTGGATGGCGCTAATTTTCAAAACTAGAGCATGCGAGGAATGTGGAGATTTTAGGTGTGCTGTGTATTTCGAAAAATTTTATAGGACTACGGTAGATGTTCAGCACTGTATATACACTAATTAGAATGTCAAATGAATGTTTAATAGCACGGAAGCGAGAGAGAGAGAGAAAGAGAGAGAGAGAGAGAGAGAGAGAGAGAGAGAGAGAGAGAGAGAGAGAGAGAGAGAGAGAGAGAGAGAGAGAGAGAGAGAGAGAGAGAGAGAGAGAGAGAGAGACAGGGAGCGAGAGAAAGACAAAGGGAGGGAGAGAGAGAAAGGGAGGGAGAGAGAGAGAGAGCAAGAGAAAGTGTTAGAGACAGATAGATAGAGAGAGAGAGACAGAGACAGAGAGGGGCTAACTAGCTGCGTCCATTTGCGGAATTACACCATTTTCCAAACTAATATTTCCATATTTCAGGAAGATCTTCTGCCAAACCTTCGAGATCGTTCGGAATGGGACGCGAGAGCAGCAGCTGAGGTGATCGCCATCCAACTCGGCACCCACATCCACCACGATACGGCCAGCACGGCTGGATTGTACGTTTTTTAAAGTTTTTCCAACGAGGCAATCTAGCAGAGATCATTTGGTCTCGATTTCTAACCGCGAATTTAGACGAAACCCAGCTGTGGATAGGGTTAAAGCGGAGTAAATTTTTACGATTTTTTTTTCCTCTGCGGTAAATCTAGTTTTTGGCTGTAAAGATAATTTTTTTTGCTTTTGCATCCCGATCCCCGGTGTGTGAGGCGTGAAACTAGAGGCTGAGAATTTTTATTTTTACTTGGCGTTAGTGGCTTGTTTAGGCTGGCCAAGTTTCAATAAATGAACCCCACGGTAATTCGGTACTGGACGATTAGCGGGGGGGGTTCGCTGTAGCTGCTGGAATCAAATTTTTGCCAGTAGTTTTTTTTAGTTTTTTAGCTTTTTTTACGTGCATTTTGCACAGTTTTGTGGTAAAGGAAGCACCAAGAAATTATGACAAAGTTCGAAAATGTATGAAAATTACCAAAAAAAAATTGTAATTTTCTAATTTTTTTCAATTATCTTGTATGCCTTCCCAGAAATCAAGCTCTATTAAAAACCGTCGAAAAAGACATTATGCATTGTTAACGAAAATTTAAAACTGCTTGAACCCCGCCAAACCCCCCCGCTAAAAGCACCGTACCGATCATTCAATGGCCCGTTGAGTCAGGCGGTGAAAAAAATGCAACCCAAAAAAATCGAGGAAAACTTTTCGCGCTTTTATCCAGAAATCCTAAGAGTTTTTGATTTTTTCCGCAACTCGCCAGGTCTTATTACAGTACCTCAAAATCCAACTGTTCCAGATGACGACTTTTTCGGATTAGGTAGTCCCATAGCGAGGGGCTTAAGTGAGCACGGCTTCATGTAGAAATCCCTGAACCGGGTGTCTAGATTGTTGCCTTCCTTGTTCCTTTAAAATCAGCGAAAATTCATTTTTTTCAGATCCCGAGCCACGACACCGGATGGTCGAACATTGTGGTCATCCGACGGCGACTTGAAGCGCCGCGGGATCAGCGTCGACTCGATATCAAGACGGACAAGTTCAGGCCAGCTGCCCTTGGAACCCAGTGTTTTTGTGGGTTTTTATTAGTTTGTATTTATTACTTAAATTGGGATAATTGAAGCTTACTTTTCAGCTGAAAGTGAGTGCAGATTCCGGAGTGAAATCGATAATTTTAATGGTTAAAGCTATTACGTTTTTTTATACCTTTTTCATGCTTTTTTCGTTGTCTATACGATACGTTGCGCGTTTTTTACGTTGTAGCTGAAGGCTTGTGTGAGAATCGGAATTTTTTGACTAGAAAGCTATTTTTCCGGAGTTAAGTTTTTCGTTTATAGCTGTAAATATAATTTTATAAAAGTCTATACGTTTTAAAGTATTTTTTCAGGTCCGCGATCGTCCCTCTGTGATGTCGTTCCGCGAGAAATCGGTGCCATTAGAAGAAGCCGAGTCTCCCGATCATTCCCTGGTGAGGTTTCCTAAAGAATCTCTGCTAGCCTGCCCTTTCCTAAAGAATCTCTGCTAGCCTGCCCTTTCCTAAAGAATCTCTGCTAGCCTGCCCTTTCCTAAAGAATCTCGGCTAGTCTGCTTTTTCCTAGAGAATGTCTGCTAGCCTGCCATGATTCTCTCATTTTTGGCTTCCCGGGCCCTTTAATTTTGTATTTTAGGCGAACGGCGCTGTGTCGATGGGAGCCCTATCGACGTACAGTAATATACCGTATCAACCGCCCACTAGCGCCATGTCAACGCTACCACCGTATCCGGCTGATGACACCCTCAACACGACACTGGTAAATTTTTTGTAATTTGTAGTTTTTCTCCAATGATCTATGCTAGCCTCCCTCAACATTACTAAAAATCTCTGCTAGCCTCCCCATTTCCTAAAAAATCTCTGCTAGCCTGCCCTTTTCTAAAAAATCTCTGCTAGCCTGCCCTTTTCTAAAAAATCTCTGCCTCCCCATTTCCTCAAGAATCTCTGCTATTTCCCTAGACTTCCGGGTTCCTTTAATCATCCTAATCCCCCGAAAACCCTCGCGAATCACCCGCGTAATTTGGCGCCTCCCGTATGCAAATCACCCTCCAGCGATCCGTCCCATTACTCAGTACATCGGCGGCGCCTGGAAACGAAAACAAAAACCCGCTCCACCCTGCCGTCTGGCTGAATCATGTAAATTACGGATTTCTGTGTATTTTAAAGGGAGAGAGACCGGTGGCGAAAACTAACGAAAATCCCTAAGAATCTCTGCTAGTTACCCTAGGTGCTAGCAGAGAGTATTGGGGAATTAAAGCACAGTTTTTTCTTGAAAAATGTCCGCTCTTTCTCCGTTTTGCTAATTCAATTAGCCTGATTGGTGGGCGGGGGATGATAGAATCGATTTTTTGGGTTCGGAAAACGCTGATGGGATTGAGGTTTTTGGGATTTCTGTCTCTCTCGCTCTCTCTCTCTCTCTCTCGCTCTGTCTCTCGCTCGCTCGCTCTCTCGCCCTCTCACTCTTTTTCTCTCTCGCTCTCGCTCTCTCTCTCATTCTCTCTCGCTTTAAGAAAATTTGTCACTAATTTGATTCATATGTCAAACTTTTTCTCTAAATTCTGCGGCTTTATCTATCTCTCACTTTCCGCAAAAACACTGCTAGATTGCCCTGTTGCGATTCCCAAAGAATCCCTGCTAGCTGGCTCCCAGATGCTTTTAGTTCCCCACAGGATTCTGCTAGCTTGCCCGCTCTCTCCCTCTCTCTCTCTCTCTCTCTCTCTCTCTCTCTCTCTCTCTCTCTCTCTCCCATTAAAAATGACGGCCCATATAACGACGTGTATTCGGGGGTAGTCCAACCGAAGGCTCAAATTCCGTCACCCCCGCTGGGTTCAGGACGTCGTCAGGCCTAGGGGCGGGTAAAGTCAAACAAATTATATATTTGCACACATATCCCCCCACAAGGCGGAGAGGAGAGGGAGAGAGAGAGAGAGAGAACAAAGGACAATGCTTCACACAACCCATCCTCCCCAAATACTGCCCTGTTCACAGTAGCCGCGCGGAATCCGGAGCCATCCGGAAATCCCGGATTTTAGTATGGCTACTGGCTAAGTGGTTTTGGTGTTGTTTTTCAGGAAAATGGCCCGGGTTCGAACCCTTTCGAAAAAAAAACCAAGTTTTGATTTTTGCTTTTTTTGCTTTCTTTGCTTTGTCAGGGTGATAGAGCGAGAATGAGAGAGAGAGAGAGCGCGCGCGCGAGAGAGAGAATGAGAGAGATCTAGGCCTAAAATAATCATTTTCGCGCCGTTTTTTAGGCTGTTAAGGTCTTTCCAGAGAATTTTCTCTCTCTCTCCCTGCTGCTCTATCTCTCTCTCTCTCTCTCTCTTTCTCTCTCTCTCTCTCTCTCTCTCTCTCTCTCTCTTACATCCTTTTAAACGCAAAAAAACTAGTCATCATCTCGCCCACCCCGCCTCCAAAACTGGTAATCGTGGGTAGCTCATGTTACTCCTCCTGCGCCCCACCGCTGCTCCCCGTTTTAGGGTTTTGTTTCTCTTTCCCTGCTATCTCTCTCTCTCTGTCGCTCTCTCTCTCGCCCAATCCCTCTGACTTTTCTGAATGATGAATCAGCCACACCCCCGAGAAAGCGAGGAGGAGCCCCCATCCTCAATGCCTCCCAATAGCCGCTCCCGAAATTCATATTTGAATATTTTGGGGTGTTTTAAAGGGCCTGCGAAGGCAGACATGGCCTCGGTGTCTCCCTGTCTGTCTCTCTCTCTCTCTCTCTCTCTCTCTATCTCTTTCTGTGTCTCTTTATTATCTTTATCCCAATTCCACCCAGGACCCACCCAAATGCGCTACAGTAGCACCCCTGGCCGTTATGTCGAGGATTTTACGAAAGAGGACTATCAACGATATTGTCGTCATTTGAAGCGACGCGTCTCGTTTCAGGATCAGGCCCATCTTGAGGCCATGGCCCAGTCGGTATGGCCTGAGGCGGCTAGCAGAGATTCTTTAGGAAATGGCAGGCTAGCAGAGATTATTTAGGAAAGGGCCGTCTAGCAGGGATCATTTAGGAAAACGGCTAGCAGAGATTCTTTAGGAAAGGGCAGGCTATCAGAGATTCTTTAGGAAAGGGCAGGCTAGCAGTGATTCTTTAGGAAAGGGCAGGCTAGCAGAGATTCTTTAGGAAAGGGCAGGCAATCAGTGATTATTTAGGAAAGGGCAGGCTAGCAGGGATCATTTAGGAATTGGAAGGGTTTTTTAATTTCTAACAATTCCGATTTCAGTCCTCCAACACGACTCCCGTCCCTAACTCTTCACCGGCCCCCGGCTCGAGCAGTAACCCAAATGTAACTAATTTTTTATAAAATTCAGTGAATTAATTTTTAGGGAAAATTCGCGTCATTTGGCGAGAATTTCCTGACGCGCCCGATCTGCGTGCAATCGTTTCAACTGCAGGGCAAACCGCCGATGCTCGCCCTGTCGGATAGTTGTGGAGGTTGGCTGGAATCGATCTTGTTTTCCTAAAGAATCTCTGCTAGCTGGCCAGAAATTTTTATCTTTTTGCTCAAAAAGCGATGCTAGGTCTCTCATCGGCGAAAAATTTTCTAAATCCTAAAGAATCTCTGCAGGCTTGCTTTGGAGTTCGGATTGCTACCGTTTTTGCATTCCCAAATTGTCTCTGCTAGCTTTCCTCGGTTAGCAAAGTTCCTCGCCAATCCTAAAGGATCTCTGCCAGATGGCCGATTTCTGAAGTGAAATGCCCTTTTCCTGGATACTCTCTGCTATTTAGCAGGATGGATTTCTCTGAATTTCCTTAAGGATCTCCGCTAGTTTGCCCAGGATTTTCTAAATTTCCTGAATGATCGCTGCTGGCTTGCCTTGTAACGCGTCCACTACGACCCCTAATCCGGCCTCATTTTCAGGTGTCTACATCACGACCCCTGAAGGCGAGATCACCGACCACATCCTCATCAAGAACTCGTCCGCCTCGTCGGTGGCTGTTGATGAGAAAAATGCGGTACGTTTGGCTTTAAATTAATGCGCCATTATACCCATAGTTGCCGGTCCCCTTAAAACCCGATTTTTAGATCATGTACGTCTCGGTGATGACGGCAAAGGGGCGATCGATCCACGTCTTCGACATGGCCAAGGGGAATAAGAAGCTTGATGTAAGTAGGAGCAGGGATCTGCAGAGCAGGCTAGCAAAGATGTTTTGGGAAATCGATCGAACGAAATTTCTCTCGTAAATGATCTCTGCTAGCTGCCCTTTTCGTGAGAATTTAGGGGCAAGCTAGCAGAGATTTTTTGGGAATGGTTAAATTCGGTGAAACGAACGAAGCCATTTGTGGATTTTTAAAAAAATATTTTTATCCCTAATTTCCAGGCAATCCCCTGCCCGAAGGACCCGAAAATCGAGCTCAGCCGCACGCGATGGCTTACTGTAGGCCCGCGGGGGCATCTTTTTATGACGAGTGGCGACAATCTGAAATCGGCACTGTGGGTGTATATGAGGAGCAGAAAGGTGAGAAAATAGGCTTTTTGAAGGGCCTGTGAAGGCAGAAATTCGAAGATAGACATATTTCTTTTAAAAAATATACCAAAAAATTATAAAAATTTAAGAGTTTGTTTATTACGATTTCAAAACAAGTTTGCTATCAATTTCTGCATTCCAGGTCCCTTTAAATGTTTTATTTTGTTAAATAGGTTATTGAGAAATTATTTATTTTAATTCCGTATAATTTTAGTTCTAGATTTTAAAATTAATTAATTATAAAATTCAAAATAATTTTTTAGGCCTGGAAAACGCTGAAGGAATCGCGCAAATCGAGATACCAATATTTGAGCGTGGCCGAGGATCAGTCCGACTACAAGTGAGTTTTTTGAAAGTCGAGGCTAGCAGAGATTCCTTAGAAAAAGGGCAGACTAGCAGAGATCTTTGTGGATTTTCCAGGAACCGTATCCTCCGCGAGAATTTCGGGTTCGCCACTGAAATACTTAGAAAAAGCACCCCAATGTTTTGGGTCTATTTTTTTCGGTTTAAATAGAGTGTGGAAATGTTGTGAGATTTTTTTAGTGGATCTACCTCCCATTAATGCCTATATTTTCAGGGCGGTCGTGTTGTTGACGTGCGACGCGGCGAACAATCGTCTCCTGCTCTTTGTCGTCGACAGCCAGCTGTCGTTGATCAACGAGTACGACCTGTCGGTGACGTACAACCTCGGCCAGTACATCTCATCCCCGGCGAGCGCGATTGTCGACAAGGTTTGTAGTCTGTAGCTTGGTTTTGTAGTTTATATTTTAATAGTTTATCAATTCTTTACGTTGGTAAGTTTTTTGGTACTGTACTGTTAACGGGTGGGTTTAGCTGGTGTAATCAAATTTTTTAAAACTGAAGGCCCTATTACGAAATATAAGCAATTTTATAGCATTTTATGCGGTTTTATAGCTATAAAAAGCGCATTAAAAAGTATAAAAAATTCGAAAACAAATTTGACTTTGGTCGAGAAGGTTGAAAAACCACCAAAAATCTCAAAATTCTCGAATTTCAAAAGTCTGCGCTATTTTTTAAATTTTCTAGCGATCAAAAACCATGAAAAACAATATAGAAATTCATTATCAGTTGTAACAAGTCATAAAAAATTAGCTCGAATTTTTAATCCCTATTTTTTTGTCTCGTAGTCCGTAGTTTAATCCTAAAAAAATTAATTAAGCGGTTTTTAGCTATGAAAAGCGCATTAGAAATTATGAAAATTCGAGATTTTCGGCTTTTTTGTCAAAATGTATGCAAAATGGCCAAAAAGGTCTGATTTTTCAATTTCTGTAGTTTGTAGTCTCCGACTTGTGGTTTGTAGTTAAATCCTAAAAAAAAATCGATATTTTCAGACGGGCCACCTGCTGATCATGGACTACGCGAACGGGAAGGTGCAGATCTTGCTGAGCGGCGAGAAGGGAGTGCGAAAATTGCGAGAAGTCACCTTCCTCGAACCCCTCCAACCACAAATGGCACTCGGACTGACCGTGCTGGTGAGCTGGCAGAGATTATTGGGGAATTTTTGATAGATTTTAACGAAGAGTGAAGGCAGGCTAGCAGAGACAATTTCGGAATTCTATCTTTCTCGAAATTACGATTTTAACAGGAAAGGCAGCTAACAGAGATTCTTTGGGAAATTCAATCTTTCTCGAAATTCGGATTTTAACAGCAAGGCTGCTAGCAGAGGTTTTTAAGGAAGGGTTGGTTTTAAAAGATTTAGTGAGCCGTTTTTGATGCTTAAATAAACCAATCTAGGCAGGCTAGCAGGGGTAATTTGGGAAATCCTGTATTTTTGCAAAATTTCGATTTTAATAGACAAGGCATGGTAGTGGACATTATTGGCTGAATTTTTAGGGCATTCCGCCTTGCAATAACATCGAATTCGGGTAGGCTAGCAGGAAAAATTTAGGAATTGAGAGTTTTCCGATGCGTTTCTGAGTTTTTTTAAAACTGTTTTCAATCTCATGATTTTCAGGGCGACTACGTCTACGTGGCCTGCTTCAGCACCCGGGAAGTGCGCCGGACGCGATATCTGGAGAACGGCAAATTCAGGTTTTTTTAGTTTATCCGCAATTTATCGTATTTTTCGCGAATTTTAGTGGCCCCTAACTGGGTTACGGTAGGTTTACGGCCGCGTAATATTATTATGATTAACCCTGTTGGTAGCTTTATGTTGTAAAATACTAACCTGGGCTTTTAAAGGTTTTAAAAAGTTGCATTTTAAATCCCATTAAAAGTTTTATATAATTTTAAAGGGGTTTTCCAGCAAGAAAATTGCAAAATTTTTATCTTAATTTCTGTCAAAAAGGTTAATAATGTCTTAAATGGACCATGCTAGCAAGCAAGTTGCAAATATTTGATTAAAGATATTTTAAAAAGTAGTAAAGATTTTATGTAAACGGCAGGTGAGCAGAGATTCTTGAGGAAAGGGGAGGCTAGCAGAGATTCTTTAGGAAAGGGCAGGCTAGCATAGATTCTTTGGGAAAGGGCAGGCTAGCAGAGATTCTTTAGGAAAGGGCATGCTAGCATAGATTCTTTAGGAAAGGGCAGGCTAGCAGAGATTCTTTAGGAAAGGGCAGGCTAGCAGAGATTCTTTAGGAAAGGGAAGGCTAGCATAGATTCTTTAGGAAAGGGCAGGCTAGCAGAGATTCTTTAGGAAAGGGCAGGCTAGCAGAGATTCTTTAGGAAAGGGAAGGCTAGCATAGATTCTTTAGTAAAGGGCAGGCTAGCATAGATTCTTTAGGAAAGGGCAGGCTAGCAGAGATTCTTTAGGAAAGGGAAGGCTAGCAGAGATTCTTTAGGAAAGGGAAGGCTAGCAGAGATTTTTAAAACAGTTTTTAGCTACTTGGGACTTTGATATCGTGTTAAATTGCGTAATCCTATTGTTTTCGGAGTAAAACAACGTTAATTATCACTTTAAAATCGGTAATTTGCAGACAATTCCACCCGCCGGCGGCGTTGGCAGACGCGGCAGCGGCTGCGTTGCGGCCGAAGGCCATCCTGGCCAATGGGCGAAGTCCGATGGGGGAGCGGAGAGCGAACTCGGTCCCGCGCCCTCCAAACACCCACATTTCATAGGTGCCCAAATGTGATGGCAGTTTTTGTGTGTCGGCTAAAGGGACTGGGAAGGCAAAAATCCACGAAAATCTATAGCTTATGCCTTCTTGGTCCCTTTAAAGGGGTGGTGACACATTTGAAACCTCTGTTTTTCGAGTCTTGGTGTCACCATCCCTTTAAAATACGTCAGGATTCCTCAGGAATCTCTGCTAGCCTGCCCGCCCACACCCTATAGTATAATTTAAATTCCACTACTTACACCAATCAAACAAAATTCCGCCCCGCTTTGAAAATTTTGGCCACTAGAAAATGGTTGTGATTTTCATCTTTTCTGTATTTTGCTGATTTTTATTAATAATTCAGTTAAACTTCTTAATTTTAAATTCAATAAGTTTAACTCGGTTGAAATATTCGGCTCTTGTGCATTATCGGGGGAGTAATTTTTCTTTATTATTCTTCATGCCTCATTTTACAAAAATAAATAGCTAACGTCGTTCTAAACTGTTTTATATTATTCTAAACCTAAAAAGCCTTACAAAATTCTAGTAAAAATTACAAATATATCGATTTTTCGACCACAAAAAGGCAGCTTTTCGACAAAAATTCAAATTTGAAAACTTTCTAAAGGTTTTTCGATAGTTTTTCATTTAAAATCGAGTAAAATTCACTAAAAAAAAATATTAAAATACTTAATATTAAGTTATTAGGCGTTTCTGTAGCCCGCCCCCCCCGATAATGCAAAAGCTCCAACTTCTCATTGTCACAAAAACCCACCCAGCGACCAACGCCCCCCAAATTTCACTTAACCCGTTTTTTGCCCCGCGTTTTAGCGATTTTTTGAGCTTTTAAAGGGACCGGGAAGTGGAGGCAGCTCGGGTTCTCAAAGAATCTCTGCTGGCTGCCCCCGTCCCGGAAACTCCCTTCAAAAGCCGACGGATGCCTTAATATATTCACCCAAATGCGTTGCCTTACACGTCTAAAGCACCAATTTCCACCGCCCCCCGTTTTCGTTATTATATACAAAAAATGCCGACAAATATAAATGTGTCTTTTAGAGCTGAATAAATATATTTTTAATATTACAAAGTAAACTACAAAATAAAATTTAAAAATGCAAAATAATCCATTTTATATAAACCTACGAAATATGGCTTAAAAACGCAAAAAATTGAGGTTATTTATTACACAAAAATGCCGACAAATATAAAATGTGTCTTTTAGAGTTGAATAAATATATTTTTAATTATCCTACAAAATATATACAAATGCAACGCAATAAACACCAAAAAAATGCCGCTAGAAAAGCCAGGCAAACGAGCGAAGATCCATGTGGAATCCGGTGCAGAAGATATACCATCTACCTTTTTTAAGTGAAACCTATATATTTTAATTATCCTACAAAAATATAGAAATTATAATTTCTAAAATCCACAAAAATGAAGCGTTAAAAGCCAGGCAAACAAGCCGAGATTCCTGCAGAATCTGGCGCGGAGCAGCGGCTTTTATAATGGCCGATTTCCCCAATTTTCTCGGCTTGTTTTATTCTCATTATTTCGATATTTATTCGCCTTTTTTAGACTTTTTAGGGCCCGTCGTTACGCGATGAAAATCAGCTACGCGTGCGTGCTGCGGACGGGGCATGTTCAAAATTTCGGGGCGCCCTGCTCGAAAGAGTTTCCCTGAATTTTTGATGTTTCGGGTTTTTGCTTTTCGAAATCTATGATTTTCGGGGTTATTTTCCTCCCAAAGGATCTCTGCTAGCTCGCCCTAGCTCACTTCTTGCATCTCCACATCGCGCTCTTCTGCGACTGCTCGTTTCCGGGCAAAATCGCGTAGGAAAATTTTGTTGATTTTAGAGCGATTTCTGAGGTTTATCTTTCCTTACTTCTCACGGCTCGTCAAAGCGCACTTTAGTACGGGGCGCGGCCTTTTGCCACTGGTCCCTGTGCCGCGGCGCCGCCCATATTAGAAAAAGCAAAGTTTGTAGTTTTCTTGCCATAACTTTTTTGGCATGATTTCGAAAATTCGGGAGGCTTGACGAATCGATAGAGATAAAAATTCTCTATCGAACGGTGAGGGTTGCATAGGGCATTCTCAAGGAAATAAGGAGTTATTTCAGCCTAAAGTTTCACAAATTTCCGAAAAAGTGGTTTTACATCGAGCATTTCGTCCTCTTGCTATAAGCTACCATCAATAAGTTGTTAATGAGTTGTGCAACGTACAAATATACTATTCTGACTGAAATATAGAAGCTTTTGGAAAACTAAACAATTTTTGAAAGCGATAATTTGGAGCTTCGAATAATCGGACTTTATAAGGCCATTTTCTACATAATTATATCAAATCGGAGAGCGTGAATCGAGAATTACTGAAATATCATGTGTCGTTTCAGGAAATGGGTTCAAACACCAATTTCTTTCAAAAAACGAGGCGGCAGCTTGTAAGATAAAGTCCGAATCTACTAAAGTAAAGGCCCCAATTGTTAATACATCTTGAGATTTAGCTAAAAATTGACCCGCCGCCTTCAAAAACTGATTTTAAGCGAATCCACGACTGTTTTGGGGTCCTTTCCGGCAAAAATCCTTCTGGCCGCTATTTTCCGAATTCTAACCGTAACTCGCTAGTTTGATTTGGATTACTGCCTCCCAGAGGCTTTGTGATACTATTGGAGCAAAAAGCAAAAGAATTTTCATGAAATGGAGGGATTTGTACCCGAGAGGAACCGAACCCGGGGGGTGCGCGGGGCTCGCCCGGGGAGTTAACCCACTATCCGCGGGGAGAGAGCCGCCGCCCCCCAAAGTGCGTTTTTGGTAAGGGCTGACGAGCCGTGTTCTATTAGCCGCTGCTTCTTCATCAAGTCTTTTAACTGATGCTAGCTCGGCCGGACTTTTTATTTTTGTTTGCGCTCTTCTCTCGATAGTTTCGAAACTAACTCTTCGATTCTCATCGAGTTCCGGAAAGAACGCTGCTAGTTTGCTCTTTCTTCTGTTCCGTATTCAGCGAAAAAGCTTACTTACTTGCTTTCTTTTCTTTGTTTAGTCATCTTCCCACGCTTAGGTATCGGATATACGTTTTTTAGAGACTCCTTCTCCGTGCTTTTTCCCTTTTAAAGCTAACCCTTCATCGTAATATCTTTATAAGACGTGTTTGGCTTCTTCAGTCCGAAGTGTCCGGTTTTCCTCTGATTTATTCAATTTTTCTTTTAGTTTTATCACATTTTCAAAATTACTCGAAGTTTCCAGGCTCGGCTATCTTCTCTACCTTTGTGTTCTTGTCTTTCTTTTTGTAGGTTGTTTTCTTTTCGTTTTCCTTTCTCCTTCGACCTATTTACAACATCATAACCTTTTTCAGATGTCGTACCAAGCACACATTGTGGCGGCGCCAAACGAATACCGGCTACCCTGGCCCGGAGTAAAATCGATCTCGTGCGTTAAAGTGAGTTGAATTTCTTGGTGCTCACCTCTATTTTTTTAGTTTGGCTGCGAGGGAGCACGAGACTTGGTGGGCGTGACCGGCTGGGACGGGTCCGTCTTCCTCTACAATGTCCAAGACCCGAACGACGTCCGACAAGCCGGCTTCTACTTTCACGGCAAGCCCGTGCTCTGCTGCAGTTTTGCGGTAATTCAGTTTCTTACGCTTTTAACTTTTACTTTAGGGAAGTGCCCGTATGGTCAGCGGCGGCGCCGACAACGTCGTCAAGGTGCTCGACATTGCCACCGCGAAAAGTGAGAATTCCTCCAAAAATTAACCTGCTTTTTAGCCGAAAACCTGGGCAAGCACGACATGCCGGTGCGTTGTGTCGGCTACATGGACGTGACGCAGCTGGTCGCGTCGGGCAGTTGGGACAAGAGCGTTAAGGTATAATTCTAGGATTGGGTTTTGAAAACAACTTTTTTTTTGCAGCTCTGGGACCATCGCGCGCGCGGCTCGGCGGTCAGCTCGGACGTGCTCTCCGACCGCGTCTACGCCATGGACACGAAGGGCCACGAGATCGTCGTCGGCACGCGGGACCGGAAGATCTACCTCTACGACATCAGGAACATGCAGAACCCGGTCATCCGCGAGAGTCCACTACGGGTCCGTTTCTTTATTTGAGATTTTAGCGCGTTTCTTTTCATAATTTTGAACTTGAAATCACAGACATTAAATACATTCTTTTTAAAAAGTTTGGAAGCGGCTTGAGGTTCTTAAGTCGAAGTTTTGAGGAAATTTGGCTTAGATTCAAGCGGGAAGTTTGAAAACCTCATCATCTAGCTCAAATTTCGCGAAAAAATCTCTGTCTCTATAGTTTCAGTTGTAGCGCCCTTTCTAAAATTCTTTCTAGCCTATTTGACTTGCTCAGCGTTTTCCATTCCGAGTTCTATATTCTTTTTTAGTGGCAAACCCGGACCGTCAAGTACTTCCCGGAAGAGTCGGCATTCGTCGTCGCGTCGATCGAGGGCCGCGTCGCCGTCGAGTACATCAGCTCCGAGCCCGAGGTCCTCAAGAAGAAATACGCCTTCAAGTGCCATCGGGCAAAGGTATCCCGCGTTTTTCTGATCGCAAAATGATTTTCCTTTTTAGGACACTGACGGTGTCGAGCTTGTGTACCCGGTGAACGCGCTCGCCTTCCACCCCAAATACTCGTCGTTGGCCACCGGCGGCTCGGACAAGCAGGTCAACATCTGGGACCCGTTCAACCGGAAGCGCCTCGTCCAGTTGTACAAGTATGGTTTTTCTTATGATTTTCTTTATTGTTCTTTTCCAGATTTGATGCCTCGGTCGTCTCGCTCGATTTCAACCATGACGGCTCGCAAATCGCCATCGCCAGCTCGTACGCCTATGAGGATGAAGAGGTATATTGAGCAGCACCAGTTTTTCTGATTTGCCTTTTTTAGATCCCCGCCACACTCCCGCCCTCGACCGTCACCATCCGCACGCTCAACGACAGCGACGTCAAAATTAAGGGATGAATTTCTGCTTTATACTTTTTTAAATGTCTTTGAATGTGTATGTTTTATCCATGTCTTACGTTTCACCGCTGATCATTACGATAAATATTTTTGCACCCAAAAAATTGGAAGTGATGGAAGGAGAAACATGATTGGGTTGATTTCCATCGGATTCTTGAAGCTACTTGCGAACAACTGAAGCAGGGAAATTGGCAGTTTGTAGGGTTTGTGAAAGATTTTAAAGTTGATGAAGGCGTTATAAGCATTCTAGCAAGATTTGAAGCTAGTTTTTTGAAAAATCAAGCAGTAGTAAACTTTCTAGTAAGGGAATTTCTTGTTATGGCAGTTTGCAGGTTTCTAGTGTTTATAGCAGCACATTTTGAGAAGTAGAAAGGAAGAAAAGATGATACGCTCGTTTTATACGTTGTAATACCTCTCTTAGACCGTTATAACACGTTCATTGCAAGTAATAAAGTCTATTATCTCAGTATAACGTTAGAAAACGTCTTAAAATGTGCTAGAATTTTAGAAATAAACTCGAACAATAACGATGTTCGAACGATAAACTAGCAACCTGCCAATGTTTTAGAGTCTAAGCTTTCTAAAACCCTAGTCTTTTTACCTCGTCGCGGTTCTCTTCAATGTATCGCTCTCTCGCCCATTCCCAGTCCTCGTCTCTCGCGCGCGCATATAACCATTGTGAAACCGTTTCCTCAGTTTCCTCAAGCTTTTTCTTTTCCATTTTCTAAAACTATTTCTTTCCAATTTTTGGCGTCGCTGCTAATTCAGCTATTTCAGAAATCAACCTTCGCTATGGGAGCCGACGGAGGCACGATCCCGAAGCGCTGTGAATTGGTGAGTTTCTTGTTTTTCGGCCAATAATCTCTTTTTCCAGGTTCCCAAGAAGAAGAAGACCGAGAAAATCGAGAAGGCCGTCAAGAACGCGGTGCGATGGAAGAATTGCCAGGTGTCGCAGCAGCCGCTCAAGAAGCCGATCATCGCCTGCAGGTTCGGAGTGTTTTGCAGTATTTATAACTGGAAAACGTTGATTGTCTGTCATTATGTCGAAAATCACGTTCTCAAAATTTTCAATGCGTCGAACTACATCCAAAATTGCGGATTTGCATGTTTAGAACGCTGGGGGGAATTTGGAGCTATTGGGTTTTCGTAATAGTAAACTTTCATGATGATGACAGAAGGCAATTTTCGGGCCAAACGAGACGTTTTTATTTCGTTTTTTTTCTAGATTCGGCCGCCTCTACAACAAGGACGCCGTCATCGAGGCCATCCTGAACAAGACGATCGCCAAGGTCGAGAACACCGCGCACATCAAGGGCACCAAGGACTTCAAGGAGTTGCGCCTCACCGACAACAAGGATTTCAACACGGAAGGGGTATCAATTTCGGCGATTTTTACATCAAAATCGGTGTTTAACTTCGTTTAATGTAGCCCAATTTCAGGTTCAGGGTCTACATTGTGAATAGCTATATTGTTTCACGTGGTTTTAGCATTTTTTTCAATCTTAAGGCACCTAAAAAGCTTTTTCGAACCAAAAATTGACCTTTTCATAGAAATAGTTTTTGGGTTACAAAATGCTTAGAATCTGGTTGGATCGTTGTTACGATTTTCCTAAAATCCGTATGATACTCTCTATTGGGCGTGTAGTAACAATACAATATTTTAGTTACACCTAAAAACTTTTACAGGCTGGGATTTGGAAGCTCTTACGCGAAATTTAGGGTGTTTTTCGTCTTTTGCAATTGGTTCGACCTTCAAGGCCGTAGATTACATCGTAGATACTAGAAGCTCGGCTTTATCCGCAAAAAAATGCTTTTTCATCCGTAAAGCATGAATTTGCGCCTTTAAAAAAATCTTTATTGATGTTTTTAGGTGAAAGGAGACGGGTACCAAGACCTGAACGTGACCCCCTACATTTGCCCCATCACCACGGCGCCGATGAACGGCAACCAGAACTTTGTCGTCAACTGGAAGTGCGGATGCGTCTTTTCCGAGAAGGCCTTGAATGAGGTATTGCCTAAATTATTTATTTAATTTGCATTTTAGATCAAAACCGACGCTTGCCACGGCTGCAATGGCCCGATCAGCGCCGATGATATGGTGGTGCTCTACCCGGACGATGAGCTGCTCGAGAAGTACAAGGTATTAACGTTTGTACGATCGTTAAGCGCAAAAACAGTGCTAAAAATAGCGTTTTTTACCAAAATTTCAAATTTTTTTCGCGGTTTTCCCACTTTGCAAAATAGTTTTTCCCTGAATGTTTCTACATTTACAGTATGAATAGCGAAAGTGTTTCTACACTGTTTCAACGATCTCTTTCCCCGAAAACTCTCCGGTTTCTCCCCGAAATACCTTACCGCCTGGAAATCCGAAAGAACCCACGCGGCTTTTCAATTTTGAAATTCGTTTATAGGAGCGCCTCGTCGCCGAGCGGAAAGCGGCCAAGGAGAAGAAGGCGGCGATCAAGGCCGAGCCGAAGGAGGCATCGCCCGACGACCTCAAGAACCCCAGTGCCGCCGGAGCCGCTAATCAAAGTAAGTTCTTGGATTTTATTGGTATTTTTAGCAAAGTTCAATTATATTTAAAGCAAAAACTATTTTAAAAATCTAAGAACTGGAAAAATTCGAAATTTTGTTGGAAAAATTGAATTTCGGTGATGTAATTTACCTGTTTTTTTTCAGTCAAAAAGCCCGCCGCGCCGAAGCGCAAAATGGAAATCGCGCCGCTGAAGGGCGCCTCGGCGGCCAAGAAGGCCGTCTCCATCCAGGACGACCCGAACACTTCGGCCGCCTACAAGAACCTGTTCACCAGCTGCGAGGCGGCGCGGAACAAGCCCGAGCAGCACTGGGTCACGCATAACCCGCTATTCTATTGATTTTGTAGGCTTGTTTTTGTTATTCCCCGATTTTCTTGTCCCGCGGCTTTCATGTACCTACTCGTCTAACTAGGGCCCCTCGTTGTTGCTGGTGCGTTAGCGGGGGGGGGACTGACTTCTTTGATTCTTATTGATTTGCGAGCCCTAAAAAGTTATAAAAACATTGTAAAAATTAAGTTTTTGACGATTTTTCAGACATTTTTGACCAAAAATCTCGATTTTTGGAAAATTTTAGTGTTTTTATGATGTTTTTGCTCTATAAATTGAACCCCTGCTAACGCACAAGTCCTCGTCATGTGATGCCCCCCACTTGTACATTGTACAAAAAAAACATTCGTAATAATATTTTTCCCACATACATTCTTCTCATTCTTCCCCTCTTTTTGATGTTGTTCGCTGGTGATAAATATTTCGAATTCCAGAGTTGATGGCAGAAAGAACGTGAATACGAAAAGCTATAGATAGTTGACGGGAAAAGAGTGAACGATTTGAAGTAGCTGATCATCTTCGTATCAGGTATTTGATGCGGATACGAAGCGGATACCTTTGCGTTCGGCTCGAGCTCCGGCGGCTCCGCCACTCCTTCGTGACGACGCCGATCTTCTACGTCAACGCCGGTGTGTTTTTAGGGAGTTTGGCTTAGAATTGTAGTCGTTCAAGTAGATGAAGCTTGCAAGCACAAATTTGTTCGTATTAATATGAAAATCACGATTTTTAAGGTGTTTCGGAAATGCAGCAAATGACAGGCTGTAGAATTGTATTTATTGAAGCAGATGAAGCTTGAAAACAAAATTTTGCGAGTAGATGACGCTTGACGAAATACATTTTCGTTGTATTCGTTCATATTAATAGCAAAATACCGATTTTTCCTGAAAAATATATCAGAAAGTGTCGCCAAGCTTGAATAGTTTTATTTAGGCACTAAATTGTGGGGGTTTTGAAGCGTTAAAAAGGGTGGTGCTAGTGGATAAAGCTTATGACACACTGTTTCTTATATTGCTAAATAAAACATTCAACTTTTGATCAAAAAATGACATTTTTGCGATAGTTGATTTCTGGTAAAGGTAATTCGTCTATTTCCAGCTCCCCATCTCGGCCACCTGTACAGCGCCGTGCTCGCCGACGCCACGCATCGCTGGGAGAACTTGCGAGCCCCGGAAGACCACCACCTATTCTCCACCGGCACCGACGAGCACGGCTCGAAGGTTAGAAGCTTCAAACAATGTTTATTTTTTTCTTGTAGATCCAAAAAGCCGCCCTCGAAAAGAACGTGCTCCCGTCGGCGCATTGTCAGGATGTTTCCGGCAGTTTCCGGCGGCTTTTCGACCAGTTCGACATCTCGTACACTGATTACATCCGGACCACCGAAGATCGGCACAAGCAAACAGTGCAGACAGTCTGGGTGAGCGCGCTATTTTCAAAATGACGAAAATGTGGAAAACTCCGAAGCATATGCAAAAAATTTCGCCATTTAGATTTTCGATATTCTGAAATTCGAAATTTTTACAATCCAATGTGAGCAGGATCCCCATTTAACCATTTATTAAACTAGACACGTTGTAACCGAAAAGATTCTATAATGTGTGATTGTGCGGTGATGGATGGGCATCAATATGTTGTTGTTGAAGAGCGGGCGGGGGCCGTGGCGACGTCGAGCTGGGCGGGGTGTCACGTCTCTTACGTGCCCTGCCCAGGGTAAAGCATCTCATAATCTGAAATTCGCGGGAATTGGTGATGTTTTTAAGTAGCGGTCACTTTGGGTAAATGGTTGTGATCTAGCCTAGAAGCCATAAGACTCAGGTTCGATCCCCGTCGGCGACAAAATTTTTTGTTTTGGCCTGCTTGTTTGCAATTTCCATTTTTTGGAGTTTTTCTAACTTTCTAGCCAGTTGGAGATGTTCTAGCCGTTCAACCGGGCAGTCCGTGTTCGATTCCCGTTCGCAGCGAATTTTTTTTTGCTTTGTAGCATAAAATTCCATTTTTTTAACTTTTCGAGCCAAATAGAATTTTTTTTTTCGCTATTTTTTCCGGGCCCCAAATTCGCAGTTTTAGCTTTTTGGCTGTCTAGTCATGTGGTTGTGCTCTAGCCTATCACCCACACGACCCGGGTTTGAACCCACCGACGCCAATTTTTTGCTTTTTGAGCAAGAGCTTTAGAATCCGTAGAAAAGCCTTGCCTCCCTCCTCCTTCTTCTCCTCCTCCTTCTTGGGGGCAGCGGCGGCGGCGGCTGGAACCTGGACCTTGTTCTGTGTCGACGGCTTCTTCTCTGTCGATTTCGATTTCTTGCCGGCTGGCGACTGCTTCGACTTTGGCGGCATCTCCGTCAAGTTCTGGTGGCGTGTGGTGGGGCGAGAGAACGAACGTGTTTGCGCTGTATTTTTGGTTTTATACGTGTTCTTGTGCGGAAATTTCCGGAAAGAATACGAAAATACAAATTTTAGGGGCTATGCAAATTTTGGTGTTTTTTGGGTCTCGTGTTTTAGTTGCGGATCCAATTCCTGTTTTGTCCTAAGAAATACTAAAAATGGCTCTGAATTACGTAAAAAAACATTGATTCAGTTTCTTTAGATATGAATAAACTTTTTGTATTTATTGATATTAGTAAAAATTATGATTTTATTTCAGAAACGCCTCGCCGACGCCGGCCTCATCTACAAGGGCACCTACGGCGGCTGGTACAGCATTGTCGACGAGTGCTTCTACACCGACGGCGAGGTGACCAAGACGCGCGACACGGCCAAGAATGAGATTACGGTAGTTTGATTGTTTTCTACATTTTTGGCACTTGATTTTAGGTGCTTTGGCAATAACGGGGGGACTAACTTTTTTCTATGGTTCCATTTCTTCAAATATAAATGGAGGGAGCGTTTCTAAAACGATTTTTACTATTCCTAAACGTAAAAATGTTACAAATTTCTAATTAAACTAGAAAAAAATATAGTTTTTTAACTAAAAATGGCCGATTTTCGATCAAAATCCAATTAAAAACTTTTTCTAAATTTTTAGTAATTTTCAGTTTAAAATATAGTTAAATTTTACTAAAAATACTTTTCAGATCGCCAAAGAAACGAAGGCGCCAGTAGAATGGGTCGAGGAGACGAACTACATGTTCCGCCTCAGCGAGCTCCGGGAATCGACGAGAAAAATTTTGGAAGGGAGTGAGTGATCGTGAATATCCGGTATTTATCTACTTTCTAGACCTCATCCAACCGGACCACTACAAGAGCCTGGCGCTCCAGGAGTTGAGCATCAGCCGGGACGACTTGTCGGTGTCGCGTGACTCGTCGAGGCTGCAGTGGGGCATCCCGGTGCCGGACGATCCGCAACAGACGGTAAATTGCCCTCTACCTTGACGCTGGAGATGATTTTTCTAGCACTGGAAAGTCGAGAAAATCGCGCACTTTTCTCAAATATATTTGTTTCTATTAGCAAGCTGAAACTTATCAATCATCTGCTAAAAAATCTTTCTTTTCAATTGAATTTTTGTACGAATTCAATTTTGTTGTTTTCGATAAATTAGGGAAGTGTTTGTAACCAGTTTTCACTGTTCTAAACGTAAAACTTTACAAATTTTCGTTAGAAAATTGGAAAATGATAGATCTTTCGACCAAAATTTCAGTTAAAAATTTTTAGCTGTTGTTGACTTGAGATATAGTTACATTTTACAAAAAAAAACTATCAAAATACTTATTATTACGTTACTAGGCTTTTTGGGTGTATGGGAAAACTAGCTTCCCACCCGATAATGCCAAAGAACCTTTTAATTTCCAGATCTACGTGTGGCTGGACGCGCTCACCAACTACCTGACGGTCAACGGCTACCCGGACGCCATGCAACTGCCCGCCCCCACTTGCCAGATCATCGGCAAGGAGATTGTTAGGTTTGGAGTTTTTGATTCGAGCAACGCTTTCTTTGAGGTTTCACACCGTCTACTGGCTGGCCTTCTTGCAGGCGTTGAAGCTGCCGATTCCGGAGAAGATCTTCGTCCATGGGCACTGGCTCGTAGATGGCGTCAAGGTATACATAGAATTTTTTCCTAAAATAGTTTTTTAGATGTCAAAAAGCGTCGGGAACGTCGTCGACCCGCTCGACCTGGGGAAGACGTTGGGGAGCGACGGCGTGCGCTTCTTCCTGCTCAGCCGCGGCGTGCTCCGCGATAATTGCAGTACCTTTTTGCCTCATTTTTAGCTTTTCTTTTGCTTCCGGGAGATGCTCACGCATTTTCCAGACTTCAGCAAGAACAACGCCGTTCACCTCCTCAACGGCGTCTTCGCCAAGATTATTGGCAGTCTGCTGAAGCGAGGTTTTTCCGGCGATTTTTTGGGGATCTGTGTTTGTTCAGCAACTTACGCCGGGTGGAATGAGCGCCAAGTGTACCCGGTCTACTCGAGCCCGCCCGAGAAGTGCGCGCGCGACGTGCAGGAGCTGATCGGCGACCTGAACGCGATCAGGGGTAAATTTTTGGCTATCGTAATGTCGACATTTCATAAATTTCAAAATTTTTTGCGTATTTTAATGATTTTAGTATATTTTAATAGTGTTTTAGTACAATTTAAGTAAATCTTTAGTACAAAATTTAGAAAACATTTTTATCGTTTTCCCGAAAAGCGGCATTTTTCGTCGAAAAATCGGGCTTTTTTAATTTTGCAATCAGAATTTGTAAGGTTTTTTGCGTTTAGAAATAGCAAAAACAGTTTCAAATTTCCTCGATTTCTGTTACTAGATTGGATTCTTAGAAAAAAGGCTGCCGCCCGCCCCCCGTTAATGCGAAAGCGCCGTAAATTTCGAAATTCGAAATTTTTCAGTTTCGAAGTTTTGATTTTCATGTGATTTTCAGGTTCCGTCGAGCAGCAGTACGATCAGCTCCGTTTCTACGAGGGCATCGAGCAGGTCACGCAGCTGTTGAAGCGTGCCGCCCGCACGATGGAGAGCGCCCAGCTGATGAAGGAGCCGGACGAGCGGAAGGTGAGCTTTGAAAACTTCTTCTGTTCTACA